GAGAGAGAGAGAGAGAGAGAGAGAGAGAGAGAGAGAGAGAGAGAGAGAGAGAGAGAGAGAGAGAGCTTCATGACCGGGGGTTTCGCATCCAGGCACTTCACAACAACAGCACGGCACGCTTCACGACAACAGCAGAAGCAGAAAGACGACGGACCGAGTGCGGTTCATGACATCGGCCAGCCCAACAGGAAAGTTGGGTCGGCTGATTGCCGTGAGGCACCCTTGAGTCCGGTAGGACCCAAGGGCACTCAGCAGCACGTCGATTGCGGCCATCGGTCCAGTAGGGCAGAACCGATGGTCTGGATCTCAGAGGAGTCCTAAGATCTTAAGACTGCGCCTATTTAGGTCGTCGATCGGTACAACCGGATGGTCTGTTACATCGTTCCGGCGACCTGGGCTGTGGGCCGGTAAGAACCGCGACAGCCTGGATTTGAGGTTTGTCACGTTAGCGATTTTAATAGTGTAGAATGTCATTGGCGGTTCCTGTGAGATTCACTAACTACGTCATGCACTGACCTACTTAGTCATACACGTGAAGCCGCACTGGATCGTCTTGTGTTTCACCTGTATGACTAATTAGGTCAGTGCATGAGTGGCAGAGGAGCGGACATTTTCTTATCACATGGCAGAGGGGCATTGCCTGCAACTAGTTTCCCTGGTGACACTCTTCACTTCTTTTCCTAATTTCCCACTCTCCTTCCATTGACATTTTCTTATCACATCGCCACAGTGCAAACTTCTTTACCACAGTAAAACCAACTGCATTATCCAAGGTCAAAGGTTTCATCACAGTGTCACCTTTGCCTCTGATGGATTGGAATACAGGCAGAAACATCACGGAGTATCACACACATGGTCGGCAAGTAGCTGAAGCCCACCGCCAAAGCACAAGGAAAGTGAAGGACAGCACGACGATCCGCCAGGCTCAAACACAGGTGATTCTTCGATCTGACAGCTGGCAAAACATCTCATGAAACTCTTTTGTTTGAACAGCTCGAATGAGTCCACACTTACCAAACAACATTTTATTGATACACTCATAGTAGGTGCTGTTCTTGCACCCAAAAATAACCCCGTGAAGATCGCCACCCAAGCCCCGCACCTCCTGATATGCATTTGCCTTTCTGGCTGACCCTGACGTGTCAGTGGCAAAGGTTTGAGTTTTACGCCCAGCTGGCATTCCGCTCCGAACAGTTTCAAATCAAGAGCTGCACAGAACAAGCAAATGTTGCTTCAGTCAATTGCATACAAAGACAGATCCATCACATGGATCTATGACAGCAACCAGAGATAGAGATAAGCAAACGGTCGCAGCACAACTTTGATTGCCCCATTCTCTGAATAAATCACACTGGAAAATAGACATGACTTCAATTAACACTGGATGTTCTAGTTGAAACGGTTTTCACCTTTGAGGTAGCAGTTGCAGATCCCAGAGCTCAGTCCCCAGACCTCGCCCTTACCCGAGAACAGTACCTGTGTGCTTGAACCCACGACCTGAGTTGGAAAGCCGCCTGTTTGTTTCCTGTAGGTATGGTGGTCCTCGGGTCTTGAACTGTAGGTCTGTAGGTTAGAGGTCTAAGTAGTGGTAGGAGTCGTCGCTGCTACAGTGTTGAAGGGTCAAGCCACAGTACTCCGGAGGTTCCGGAACTGGCCCTTCGCGAGTCGTAGTAGTCAGTCCGTAGGCAAGTGGTCAAGTTGGTAGTCTTACCTTGCTTCGTCAGCGGTACCCAGTCCCAGTCGCACCTTGTAAAGTCAGCAAGTACCACGTGAGACTGTGCACCCCGGGCCCGGTGGAGAGGGGCGGACCAACGACAATCCCAAGTATAAATCAGGAGACAGCGAACATTCATGGATTCATTCTGCCTGTGAGCCGTGCGGAAGCGCTGTCGAAGTGTCTTGTGTGTGGAGGTCTGCAGGTCCCCGAGGAGGCAGATGGTTAAGAGGAGGAAAATCGGCCATAGCCGATAATTGTCAGTAGGAGAGAGATGATGGCCATAGCCGCCACGTCAGCGACATTAGAGTGTTAGTAGGTGTGTGTGAATGTGTTACATGCCCAGTTGGGCGATATATAGCCAAGGATCCGCAATGTGAGGAAAAGGACTGAATGGACAATGCAGTGCTGTGGAATCTCAACAAGCAGTGTACATCCTGATACATACTAAAATGGCACATAATAGCGCAGGGGAAGACTTAGATATAAGCCCTGACCTGACCGGGACTGACCTCTCTTACATAGTACAAGACAGCGCAACAGAATGCTAGAATACCAATGACTAGCCCAATAAACGTCGCAATACAGACCAAACATACATCATCCTCATCACAAGATGTGAAGGGGCCTGGCGCTACACACAGGAAGAATGTGCCAGGTCCAGACCATACACAGACGAAGAGGAGGGGATCAGACGAAGAAGAAGGGGGAAGATGGGAATGTCGTCAACACCAAGTCTTCAGTACAAGTCCCAGATAATCCCTCATCAAATGTCTGAAGCCCAATGTCGAGTCTGGATCCAAATGTCACCAAGCCCGCTCTCTCGTAGTCTGCTGATGCAGTGAAGTCAGGTAGCGAGAGGGTGAGAGGGAGATGGTGGACTGAGAAGAGGAAGAAGAAGAACTCTCTCTCTCTCTCTCATGTGCCAGGTACTAACCTCTGAAGGTGGCGCCGTGCTGCAGGTACCTCGAAGACGGAGCTCGAGCTATGGCGCTGCAGGTAAGTCTCCCTGGCCTCCGCCCAAGACCGAGAGGTTTGACCAAGTTGACCGGCCGTTGACGAGCATTGACCGAAGGCCGTTGACGACGATCTTAACCAAGCTGAAGTTGGTATAATCTCGCCAGCCTTCAGCCTAACCCCTCGCCCTATGGATGTGCACTTACCCCTTGGTACTTGCTGAGTCTGTCTGTCTCTTCTTTCTGCATTGAGTCACTGTCCAGGTGATCGGAATCCGTGCATGTGATCATAGAGTTGCGTTGACCAAACCTACACGAGCTGAGTAGGGCTTAAGGCCACGTCTGATGACTGACACGTTCCAGAGGCCTGACCCTCCGAAGGACCGGTACAGATCGACGGGCTGCTCATTGTGGCATGGTAGGCCCAAAAACCGAGCTGTGGGCTGTACAACCAGCTGTCTACGTCTTGAGAGAGCTCTGCTGATCACGTCGCCCTGACTGCGACGTTAAAGAATTCCTGAGGAGTTATGGGGGATCTCCTGAAATGCCTTCTGATCGGCAACAGAGTTATGTAGTGACAGCCCAGAAGCAGGTCCAGGCTAAAGACCCTAGTTGACAGGATCTGAGAGGATTCTCTGGTCCTTGGGGAGTCGGTCAATCAGTCAGTTAGTGGGTGGAAAGTCTAAGTGGTGAGGAGTGGAACTCTCACAGGTTGTGCATCTTTCACCATGGTGACCACGCGAGGAGGAACGAGTACCACCCTGTATAGCAAAGAGCAAGAAGAGCAAGCCACCGCCCTGCTGACGGAGAGAAAAGAGAAGATGGAGAAGAAAGAGCTCATAAAGCAGGCGAAGATGCTGGCCTTGATGGAAGAGCGGAAGACCTAGCAAAAGCAAATGGAGGAGGAGTTGAAGCAATGTGAGAAGGAGCAAGAGGAAAAAGTGGCGGCGATAGATGCAGAAGCAAAAGCATAAGCAGAGAAACAAAAAAAAGAAGAGGCAGAGGTTCCCCCGCAAAGGAGTGTAAGGAGGGAAGAGAGAGTTGAATCCAGTGGGGCACAAGCAGTAGATCCGAAAGTGGAGACGATGGTAAACACGTGGGTGGCCAACCTGGCATTGGGGGAGGCATTGTTACTTGTCCCCCACGTAGAGACAAAGGCATTTGCAAAAGAGTTGGAAGCGGAGGAAAACCCCTTGAGGCGACAGACCATAGAGGAGGAGAAGAAGTTGGGGTAGAAACTGCGCCTAACAAGGGAACGAAGGAGGAGATTGGAGGTGACAGAAACGATGGAGAGAGAGTTACAGGCCGCAGAAGAGCAACGGGGGAAATTGGCAGTACAAGTAGACCTCCAAAGAAAGATAAAGATTCTCTCTCAAAACATGGAGGTGGTTTTGAAGGCCCAACAGGAACAGTTGCGCTACCTGAGAGGCCATAACATTGCCCTGCAGTCCATACGCACAGGTTTTAAAGATTTTGCAAGGGATATGATGATGCGCGTGGGCACGCAGTTGCACGCTGCTATGGAGGGCACTGAGAAGTTTTGTGTAGGTGCCATAGAAGGCGCCAAGTTAGCAGCCTCCAAAGAAGAGGAGGCATGGCCAAGTCACGAGTGCATTTAAGCTAGATTCCCTGAGCCTTATGGAGGAAAGAAAGGAGAGGATTTTGATAATTGGGAAACCAATATCAACTCCTATATCCACCTCCAACTTATCCACCTTGAGAAGCAAATTTTTGTGGCATTCCAAGCGCTAAAGGATGAAGCGGCCAGCTTTGCTAGGTCGCTTGCTTGTGCCGCCAACTGTGACAATGATATGGTCACATATTCCTGCATTACTCACTTTGAACAATTTTATGACTGCCCTCCGGACCGATTTCCAGATGTCACTAGGGGCCTTACAGCCTCAGACAAACTGCAAACAATCCATTCGCAACAATGTGCAATCAGACTCGTTCTCATTCACACTTTTCATGCATGTAACAGCAGCGCAGCAAACTGGCGACATGCGCCCACTCAAAACTCAAAGATATGGCATCCAGATAAGAGTTCACTTTCAACTGGCTATGGCGACTCAGCACCCAAACAACTCACACACGTATCTTTGAACACTCGCACATACACACACACACTTCACACTAACTACAGCTATGGCAGCTATGGCTGCCTCTACCCTATCGCTATACTAAGCTCCTTCCCTCTCGCCCATTGCGTCCTCCGGGCTCACAGCAGCCCTCCTTGCACAAGTCGCTTGTGCATCGCTTCCACATGGCTCACGCAGGAATGAATGAAAGGCTGGGCGCTGACTCTTGATTTATACTTCGAAAAGTCGTTGGTCTGCCCTTTGCCATCGGCCCATGGTCCTCACAGTCCCCCGTGGTACTTGCTGGACCGGACTGGGACTAACTGGACCTTACCGCTGATTGACTGTGGACTCACAACTATCCTACCGAGGTCGTACTGCGATTGCACTGCAGTTTAGTCCACCACTTGCCTCGCCACTGGACCACTTGCCCACTTGCCGACCTTCTAGAAGGGCTACAACTAAGCTTCTGGAACTCACTAAGACTTACCCTATGGCTCTACAGATCGAACCCCTACTACCTACAACTATCTACGAATACACAAGTCACAGGTTCAACTCTCGGGTCTACACAGATACTGTACATGGGTAGGGCGAGGTTTGGGGATCAAACCCTGGGATCTGCATCTGCTACTGCAAAAGGAGAAAACCGTTTCAAATGGAGTGCAACAACCGTCAAGGCCACCATGGATGAACTCGGCGCTGTCCCAGGCCATGGGGTTACTGAGCCCCAACTAGTCCAGCTTTTCTATCGCGCCATGCCCGAGGCTCTGCACGGGCATTTCTTTGACAAAAAGCAGCAGCCCAACATAACTTCCGATACACTTAGTAGAGAGGTTGTTCCGTACGAGGCCCAGTCCATGCAAGTTACCACTTTCTACCACAAGGACCTCGACAAAGGCAAAAAGTGGAAAGGTCGGACCATCACCAGCCAAGTCAAGGCTAAGGATAGACTAATTCTTACGTTAGATGAGGGTGGTCTGGATAAGGTTGCCTACAGCGAAATCGAGTGGGGCCTCGAGGAGGAGGACAGTGGTGGAGGTCAGGGAAGGACTTACGTTGCTATCGCGGCTGGAGGGAGGCCGCAAGGAAGAGGGAGAGAGCGGGGCCAAGAGGGCCGGGCCTCTGGTGGTCGAGGACAGGGCGACCAGGGGTGGAAGGCGTCAAGGTCCCCCGGCAAACCGTCCATGTTCCAATCGGTCACCTCCCAAAAGGGGTGAATGGCACCTTGATCTGCCTCAGGGCAAGCCCTAGGAAACCTTGGACATCGAAAAGAAAGACTAGCAGGATAGGATAGATAATTGGCAGTGTGTGTTCTGTGGTGATCCGGGGCACATTGTCAAATTTTGTCCTAAATATAGGAATGCCCGAAAAGCTTCT